AAATGATGCCTAATGTCAATATGTTTCGTCCTTGAGTGAAGAACCGGATTCTTCGTCAAGCTTATAGCACTAGTATTATCACATCGAAGAGGGACGTGATCGATACTAAGGCCATAATCCACAAGTTGTTGCTTCATCCAAAGGGTTTGAGCACAACAACTACCGGCGGCAACATATTCCGCTTCGGTTGTGGATAACGTAACTCTGACTTGCTTCTTGCTAAACCATGAGACTAAAGAACTACCAAGCAAGTGACAAGTCCCACTCGTACTCTTACGGTCTAATCTACAACCGGCAAAGTCCGAGTCGGAATAGCCAAAAAGTTGACAAGGAGACCCCTTGGGGTACCATAGTCCAACGTTCATTGTACCAACAAGATACTTCATTATCCGTTTCACCGCCGTTAAATGCGATTCCTTTGGACAAGATTGATACCTTGCGCATAAACAAACGCTAAACATGATATCAGGTCTACTAGCAGTAAGATAAAGAAGGGATCCGATCATACCTCGATACTTCTTTACATCTACTTCCTTACCCTTTTCATCTTTTTCCAAATGCTCGGAGGTGCTCATTAGGGTAGCCATTGCTTTGGAGCCATCCATTTCAAATCTCTTTAAGAGCTCCTTGCAATACTTTGATTGACAAATGAAGGTCCCTCCCCTCATTTGTTTGACTTGTAACCCCAAGAAGAAATTGAGTTCCCCCATCATGGACATCTCAAATTCATTTGTCATTAGGTTTGAAAATTCCTTGCACAAAGATTCGTTAGTAGCATCGAATATAATGTCATCTACGTAAACTTGTACCAAGAGGATGTTATCATTTTTACTCTTGATAAAAAGTGTAGTGTCGACCTTCCCCCTTTTGAACCCGTTGTCCAAAAGAAATTTGCTCAAACGTTCATACCAAGCACGAGGTGCTTGTTTAAGACCGTAGAGTGCTTTCTTTAGTTTATAGACATACTCCGGGTGCTCAAAATCCTCAAAGCCCGGGGGTTGATCAACATACACTTCCTCTTGAATAAATCCATTGAGGAAGGCACTCTTAACATCCATTTGGTATAGTTTAAAATCCATAGATGAAGCAAAAGCAAGTAATAAACGAATAGCTTCTAAACGTGCTACCGGTGCATAAGTTTCTTCAAAATCAATGCCTTCTTCTTGATTGTAGCCTTTAGCTACGAGCCTAGCTTTGTTTCTAGTGATTATTCCATTTTCGTCGAGTTTGTTACGGAACACCCATTTCGTACCAATTATGGTGTGATCATCGGGTCTTGGCACCAATTCCCAAACGTCATTTCGTTTGAATTGGTTAAGCTCCTCTTGCATTGCCAAGGTCCAATGTTCATCATCAATTGCTTCCGAAATGGTTGTAGGTTCAATTTGAGAAACAAAAGCCATGTGACCTACG